ATTAAAAAAATATATAAAAGAAAATACATGAAAAATAAAACAAAAATGAAGAAATAGAAGAAAATAAAATAAACGAAAAAAAAAAAATGAAAATAGGCAAAATAGGAATAAATCATTTCAGTATTACTCTGTAGAATAAATAAGTCAATAAAAATACAACAAATTATAATACAAGGAAATAGAAATACTGTAACAACAACAACAATGAATAAAGTTATACAAATACCTGATTATAATCACCATACATCACCTGTTACGAACCAGACATAATTGTGTTTACCTTAGATAATGTGTTTACTGGTGACACATAGTAAAGAGAGGTAACACATGAGCTGGTGACACATAGTAAACAAAGGTAACACATGAGTCACCACAACACAGCCATCGTCCGAGGAAATAAGGCATCATCAGCCATTATACTGACTATTGGCTGCGTGCTATGTCTAAAAGAGAGTTAAGTAAGGAGGCACGAAAGGAAGGAGGGAAAGAAAGGTAGAAGGATGGGAAAAAACGGAAAAATAGGAAATAAATCTCTCAGGAAGTCAGTCAAAAGAAGCAGTCATGAAGGGTAATTATGCAGTCAGAAGGGACAAAATTATCATAGCTGAACGTACATGTAAAATTACCCAGTCTATTTTATTGAGAAAGATTTTGTTGAGGATTAAGGAATTAGTCAGTATGTGTTACGTGGGGGGTATATGTACAAGCACAACAACAACAAATCATTCGGGCACACAAACACATATACAAACACACACACAAACACATACACTGGTACACAAACACATGCAGACACTATAATGAACATACACCAAAAAAAAAAAAAACCCACATTTTAATAATTCCTGTAACGACCCCCCAAAAATAATTAGCTTCAATTAAATAACAAAATAGAGATTCATTTTTCAGCATCAGAAACTACAAAATCCATTACATTCCTTTAAATACTTTCATTATAAACAACCACAAGGCATACAATCATTTCTGTATCTCAGCCAAGAACGAATACAAAAGTCACTGTATCAGCATCAGGTTTAAAGTACAGTCTAGGGTCCTCATTGGTGGAAAATTACAGTTAAACGTCCCCTATTGGTAGAGAGATTACAATGCAGCATCCTCATTGGTGAAGATGAATGATCAGCGTGCCCTATTGGTAAAGGTTACAATCCAGCATCCTCATTGGTGGAGATTAAGAGCTCAGCGTCCCCTATTGGTGGAGATAATAGTCCAGCGTCCCTTATTAGTGATTACACTCAGGTTGTCATTAGCAAACTTAAACTACCGTCTAATTTCCCCGATGGTGAAAACATTTTAGGATCAAAACCAGTTCTGAACCTGAAGCCGGAGGAGAGGTCCAATATTAATACCAAAATCACGGGTTTAGTTAGGTTAGGTTAGGTGAAACTGTGGGGGTGGGGGTGAAGGGGTGGGTGTGTGGGGTGATGTGTGTGGGGGCAGGAGGGGTTGTGGGGGGGGTGGGGGTGAAGGGGGTGGGTGAGTGGGGTGATGTGTGGGGGCAGGAGGGGTATTGTGGGGTGAAGGGGTGGGTGTGTGGGGTGATGTGTGGGGCGGGAGGGTTTGTGGGGGGGGGGAAGGGGTGGGTGAGGTGGGGTGATGTGTGGGGGCAGGGAGGCCAGGGGTGAGGGGTGGGTGAGTGGGGTGATGTGGGGGCAGGGAGGGGTTTTGTGGGGGGGTGAAGGGGTGGGTGGAGTGGGGGTGATGTGTGGGGCAGGAGGGTTTTGTGGGGGTGAAGGGGGTGGGTGTGTGGGGTGATGTGTGGGGCAGGGAGGGGTTTGTGGGGGGGGAGGGAGGAGGAAACTTAGCCTTCGTATCCATGACAACGTGGAAGAGGTCAGACCAGACGTGTGAGTTTCGTCAGCTGAGCCCTACAGATCTCTCTCTCTCTCTCTTGAGTCTCATACATTAAGTATTGATATATTTTTTCCTCTCTCACTTAACTAGGAATAAAAGATCACCTCTTGGTATGACGAAACACATTAACTCTACATTGGGGTAGGTTAGGTTAGGCTAGATTAGGTTAGGTTAGGTTAGGTTAGGCTAGATTAGGTTAGGTTAGGTTAGGTTAGGCTAGATTAGGTTAGGTTAGGTTAGGTTAGGCTAGATTAGGTTAGGTTAGGTTAGGTTAGGCTAGATTAGGTTAGGTTAGGTTACGTTAGGCTAGATTAGGTTAGATTAAGTTGGACTATCTTTGGTCAGGTTAGGTTAGAGTAGGTTAGATTAAGTTGGATTAGCTTTGGTCAGGGTAGGTTAGAGTAGGTTAGATTAAGTTGGATTAGCTTTGGTTAGGTTAGGTTAGAGTAGGTTAGATTAAGTTGGACTATCTTTGGTCAGGTTAGGTTAGAGTAGGTTAGATTAAGTTGGATTAGCTTTGGTCAGGGTAGGTTAGAGTAGGTTAGATTAAGTTGGATTAGCTTTGGTTAGGTTAGATTAGATTAGGTTAGATTAAGTTGGATTAGCTTTGGTCAGGTATGTATTTGGGTGTATAACTGCCCTGATAAGAACAGCGAGGTGACTCATCTTCATATACCGTCCCTCGAGTGTTATTTCAGTGTTACTCTGGCTGTCATCTCTGTCATTACCTGAGATCGATGAACGTGTTTCGGAAGTACTCACGTCAATAATTAAGGAAACAAAATTATCTTACGAATTATTAAAGATCTCCAAGGTGGACTTCAGACAGTATCAATGGCCTATAGAGACATTACCAGATACACAGAGTAACACGTCTCTGTACTCAAACACACAGACACACACACACACACACTTATTTGTCTGTACTCAAACACATAGACATACACACACACACTTACACACACACACTTACTTCTCTGTACTCAAACACACAGACACACACACACACACACTTACTTCTCTGTACTCACACCCTTGTACTCAACACACACCTCCATGGATTATATTCCTTTAATAAATAACTCGGTAGATAAACTACATGTAAAGACTATTTTTGATAAGAGGCATCAGGTCACGGGTGATAGTTAAGGTTTAATCACAGAGCGCCGTCAGTGCAGTGTCCGGGGCGATCTCTGCCTAATCACTCGGTCAGTCAGTATTAACTTCGATAGTGGTGAACTTAAGCGGATATTAAGTGACCCTTAAATTAGATGTCTCCAATACGAGATGACCCAGAAGGCTGTAAGGACCTGGGCGGGTGACCTAAAACAAAAATCTTGGGACTGGTTACGGAATCTGGGCACTGGGCAGGACCTGGTAAGAAATCTGGGTACTGAACAGGACCTGGGGTAAGGTGTTCGTGACCTGGATGCTGCTCTCCCATGACCTGGAGTGCTGGGAGTCAGATCTTCTCGGGAGGTGGAGTGGGAGATAGTAATTACTGTAGCTGGTGACAGTGAGACCCCCCCCCCCACCCCCCTGTGCCTTCACTGCAGACGCTGTTGTACCCAGACTCTCAATTAGACGAACGATTAGCAGAGAGGCTGACGTCGAGGTGGTGGGAAGAGGAGAGGGTAGTGAGAATGGGGAGAAATGGGGAGTGGGGTGTGGGGATGGAAGAGTGGAAAGAAACGTGGGATGAGAGGGGAGTATAAGGTGTGTGAGTGGAGTGGGTGGGGAGTGGGGAGTAACTGAAGTTAGGAGAGGCGAACTGAGGCAAGAAGGTGTTGAGTAAGGTGAGGATAATCACATGAGAGACATCGGAGGCCAGGGTAAGAGGACAGAGAGTTGGAGATGGCGTGGGAGGGCGGTGGGGAGTGGGCGGTGGGGGATATGATGCGAGTGGGACGGCACAGGTAAATTGATAGAAGAGTGGGACGTAGAGAGGGCCCAGGCGGTGGTAGGAGAAAGATGATCTAGTTATAATCTAATCTAGTTGTTTACATCAAACTAGGAATCTACGTCTTCTCCACCAGTCAGAACTAAAGGCCACGTTCTTCAGTACACTGCTCTTCACATCTTACATAAACACAACATAAACATCTAAGTTATATTATTTTAGATTATCACTCATTTTTTACTCTAAATAAATGACTAAGTTAAGTAATTATTGTATATATTTCTATTCATTACTACGATAAAATACCAACCTTTATACTATGATTATTGTAAGTTAAAACACCGAGACTCTACAATACCATAAACACAAGGAACTTACTGTAACTGTCCTGTACACTCAAGACACGTGAATCTTAATAAACCTATCGAGCAAGTCCACACCTACATACGTCTTGGCGCTTAAGTAGGAAGGGAACTCAGAGAAATCAATACTAGTCTCTGGGAATCTGTATGTACACTAAAAAACCCACATGAATAAACCAGTAAGACGATAAGGAAGAAAGGGGAGGGTAACTGGAACACAACCCGGAATCTCATCAATAATAAAATAGGTTTGGTATAAGGTGGGCGAGTCATGAATATTTAACTCTATAGGTGTGTGTGTGAGTGTGTATGTGTGTGTGTGTGTGTGTGTGTGTGTGTGTGTGTGTGTGTGTGTGTGTGTGTGTGTGTGTGTGTGTGTGTGTGTTTATGTCAAGACTCTTTGGTGTTGGTGGCCCCTTGTGTTCGTGTGTTTATCAAGTAATGTCACTATGGGGTATATAAGGTCACCTGAGGGTGTTATAGGCTTGGGGCCACCTAGGTCATTGATCAGTCTGAGTTATTTGTTATTTCTCGGGTCAAAGGGCAAAGTGGATCAATCTATTAATTCACGCCGTAGGTCAGCCTGGGTCACTTTTCCTACAGAGTCACTTGTTCAATTCGATTCTTAGATCAACTCCAATCATAGATCAACTTCAATCATAAGGTCAAATTCAATCATAAGGACAAATCGAAACATTGGTCAACTCCAGTCATTAGTCACTATTTAACTGAAGTAACTTGTCAGCCGGGTCATATTGTCAATTCTTAATGATGATGTCATCCGGGGTCGCTTGTCACCGAATCTCAAATATCAACTTCGACTTCCTCGTTAATCTGCGTACGAGTCAAGCTTCAAGTCACCTCACCTGCTCTTGTCGTTGGCGAAGAAGGTATCAGGAACCCAGATCTTTTCGGCGAAGTCTCCTGGAAGGGTGAGGAGCTCGTCGCTGGAACTGAAGGCGAGTCTTTCATCCTTCCAGTATTGGTTAAGGTACATGGTGATGGTGTAGTCCTGGAAGAGGAGAAGAATTGTATGGTGAAGCAACAACTGAGAGAGGGAAAACTTGGCAGATGTTATTTGGTGAAGGCTCAGGTGGAGAGAGAGCACACAACATGAGTACGACTTGGAAATATTACACAAAAAAACTATTCAACAAGTAACTCAGACAAAAAAAATACGCCATCATAGCCGCGTTAGTACAGGTTTTGTCGTGACGTAATTGGGAAGTATTCCTCAGGTGGGAAAAAAAGAACATTGCCGGTTAGTCAGTAAAGCCAGATGAGGTTTGGAACGAGTTGCATGACGAAGAATCAAGAGAAACAATTAATTGGAGATGTATAGGAGAATTAGTGATGAAAGGTTTATTTTGCCGGTTCATCTAACCTAACCTAACCACGCCAAGGAACGTTAGTGAGTTTAATTATCAGGTGAAATAAGCTGGGGGTGCCTGATCTTCACGTGATCGATTTTACCTTTCTGACTTGAGTATGTAATAAAAGTTAGGTGATACCTGTCTCGTTTACGATCTCGTAATGGAGTCTCGTAAAGGGGGGGGGGGGTCTCTTAGTTGCCCTCGTAAATGGAGTATCTCGTAAAGTCTCGTAAACTAGATTTCGGTTGCATTCTAACAGGGGACATTTATTATTACTATTATTATTATTATTATTATTATTATTATTATTATTATTATTATTATTATTATTATTACTATTATTATTATAAGAACAACTCCACGATTCTCTATTCAAAATATAATTAAAATAAGAAAAACAAAAGAATCCTCAAATCACAATCAAAATATTATCACGGATTCAATGCGTCTATTGTTTTGAAATAAAAGACGAATGTTTAGAGATTTTATTAACACAAAATGCATAGACGATCTCTCTCACACTCTCCCTCTCTTATTTTTAATTGGTTTACATTGATTATGGAAACAATAGAACCTGACCCGCTAACAATAGGTTGGGGGGAAAATATAACAATTGATTTTATTTATTTACTTTTATTTAAGCCGAGTGAAAATTGACGTCACTCACTTTGTTTTTGTTGATATTTTTGGTGATTAAGATAATATTTTGTTTATTGTTTGTTGTTGTTGCTATTATTATTATTATTATTATTATTATTAAGAAAAAAAAATATGTAACCCATGAATAAATTTGGTTTGAAAGTGTGTGTGTGTGTATGTGTGTGTGTGTGTGTGTGTGTGTGTGTGTGTGTGTGTGTGTGTGTGTGTGTGTGTGTGTGTGTGTGTGTGTGTGTGAAAACAAATACAATATCTCCATCATAGGTTAAACGCTCTTGATAACATTTGGACCTCAGGATGGATGTAGGCTGTGGCCGCTGTTATTTGATTTTAGAGCATAAAGGGGGTCAAGGTCAAGGCAGCACCGAGGTCACAGGTTTAAAGCTGAGGGTCACCACGGGTCACCAAAATGCGTTTTAAATAGTGCGTGTTCTGCCAGGTACAGTTTTAATAATGCTAAATTAGGCCGATTAATTAAAGGTGTGCAGGTAATTTATGAGAGAGCGCAGTAATACATCATACACTGTATAATTTAGCACACACCCAAATTCCTTCACATTTCAATGATGGTACGTATTAGTGAACAAAATTACCTTATATACAAAAGGGGGGGGGGACTATCACAATTCTACAACAAACATTTTACTTAACCAGATCTTCAAAATTAGTATCAATCAATTGTGTGTGTGTGTGTGTGTGTGTGTGTGTGTGTGTGTGTGTGTTGTGACCTCAATATCTGACCCAGTTTAGTTACGCACATTAGCACCTCAAGCGTCGATCGTTCAATAATGGAGATGCAACAACGATTATGGTGGCTGTTGGTCTTACCTGTCTCCTGTCTATATCACCTGGGTCCTGTCTATATCACCTGGGTCCTGTGTATATCACCTGGGTCCTGTCTATCTCACCTTGGTCCTGTCTATATCACCTGTCTCCTGTCTATCTCACCTGAGTCCTGTCTATATCACCTGGGTCCTGTCTATATCACCTGGGTCCTGTCTATCTCACCTGGGTCCTGTCTATCTCACCCTGGGTCCTGTCTATCTCACCTGGGTCCTGTCTATATCACCTGGGTCCTGTCTATCTCACCTGGGTCCTGTCTATCTCACCTGGGTCCCGTCTATCTCACCCGTCTCCCATCTTCACTACTCTATGGGACATGAAAATACTGAATGAATTTATTCCCACAAAAGACCCTCTCCTAACCTGTTACATCAGTCTCTGTAGATTCAGTAATTAATCCGACTTATCCTCTACCTTTCCTCATGTGTTATTGGGGTCAGCTAACCACCGTATAAACACTCAATAGATAGTTACCTTCTCTTTGTCTTTAAAATAATAACCGAACAGAGAAAATCAGGTGATATTACGCTCGAGGGTTTATTCTCTCTCTCTCTCTCTCTCTCTCTCTCTCTCTCTCTCTCTCTCTCTCTCTCTCAAATAAGCCCTCTCAGGATGGACTGAAGGACTTAGGTCACGTAAAATCCTTCCATGAATTTATCGGAAAGCGATTATTTACTTCACTACCTCAGTCTTTGTCCCTTTGTAGCAAATCTGTATATTTTTTTTCTTTTTCCTCGTAACGTCGTCACTTTATTGAGCTCTACCGTCACGTAACACCTCTGTGGTTCTCTGTTGACCCTTACTGATGTAATGAACAAGCCATTCACTCATCTAGAACATCAGGTAAACTAGTATTCCTTTTCATATTCATTACACAAGTCCTTGAATTAAACCAAAAAATACCCAAACTATTAAAAAAAAAAGTTTATAAGGGATAATTTGATAATACTTCACTATATATGGATTATATTCCTGTGTCATATTTCAAGGTTTAGTCATATTTTTATTTTAAGATTAATAACTGGAATAAAATGTTTGTTAGTCATATCAGAAAGTAATTTGAAAGTCATAGAGTCATTAGTTATTATCTATTATAAACCACCAGGAGACTCGTTATCATTATTATCGTTCTATATATACTGTTCTGCCCTCACAGCTCCTACACCACTTACCTGAACAAGAGTCGAGTCATCCTTCATCCACAAACTCCGATTCAACAACATATAACAACTCTTGATATAATTAGTCTCTCTATTCTTAATAATTATAGTACATCTTGATTATAGAGTCATCGATTATATGATGTTTATTTCACGTATAATGAGTTTAATAGTTTTGTTCATTATGTTCTTGAGTCTTAGTGTTCAAAATGTTATAATTAGTTACGTCTGTGTTGATGTAACGTGTTATGGTTGTGTTGTATGCCTTCAGTGTATTATTATGAGAATATTTATTGTATATTGGCACATAATGGCTCCAGCAGTTGTCTATACGTCATCCAGTGTGCATATTTTGTCTGTTCATATTATTAGTGTTAGTAGTGACGTGAAACACACACTAAAACTACATCGTACACACACACACACACACACACACACACACACACACACACACACACACACACTGCCATCATGCTACTACAACATCAACAACAACTACTACCACTACTTCTAAGGGATAACTTCAGGTATTGTACTCTAGAAGCAGCCGGGTATACTTTGTAATTATCTACGGGCCAACCTGCTGTGTCCTCCAAGACATCGACCATGAACGTATATCAATGTTAGTTAGTACAGAATGAGACCGCCAGGGACGTTGACTCAAGAGTATAAACTTCCCTTTGTCTTTATTGATTCATGAGACAGTATAAGTAATCTTGCTTTTTAACAGAATTTTATACGAATATTAGTGTGAATTTTTAGCTTTTCTCTTGTGGATTAGAGAACTGTTAATCTCTCTGCATTAGGTCACGTAACTGTCCCAGAACATAAGAACATAAGAAAATAAGGAGTCTGCAATAGGCTGGTTGGCCTGTGCATGACAGCTCCTGTCGAGAGTTACTACCACTCTCTATCATCCATGAATCTATCTAGCCTCCTTTTGAAACTTTCCAGAGTTCCCGCACTTACTACAAAGTTGCTAAGCTTGTTCCACTCGTCCACCACCCTATTTGTGAATCAGTTTCTTCCTATCTCCCTCCTAAACCTAAACTTATCCAACTTGAATCCGTTGCTCCGAGTCCTATCCTGCTCGGATATTAAGAACTTTATCTATATCCCTTTATTGATTCCTTTCACCACTTAAATACTTCTATCATATATCCGGTCATAAGGGAATGCAAGTTAAGTTTCTTTAACCTATCCTGATATGGAAGGTTTCTAAGTCCCGGAATCATTTTCGTCATTCTTCGCTGCACCGACTCTAGTGAATTTATATCCATTCTATAATAAGGGCACCAGAACTGAACCGCATAATCGAGGTGCGGCCTAACTAGCGCAAGATATAGTTGCAATAAGACCTCTGCACTCTTGTTACTTACACTTCTAGATATAAAACCCAATACTCTGTTTGCCTTATTTCGAACATTAACGCACTGTTTTCTAGGCCGTAGGTCCGGGCTTACAAGTTGGTGGTGAAGGCAGGTTAGTGTCCTCGTAGCTCCCAGTACTGACGTGATCGGGTATTTAACCTGAGTGGAGCATCGATCGCCAAAGTCAACGCCACTGACAGATTTTGCTGATTATGCGGCTAAAGGGGATCTTGGTATTGATTCCTAAGGCGATGACACCTATGGTCTTCTAAAGTTTTTCTTGATGCAAGTCTCGTTAGATGACAGTCTGCCTGCAACTTGGGTAAATTTATTTATCCTCTTAGCGCGTAAAGTGACAAGAAAGAAAACCAGGTCAAGGACTAGCGGACCCAGCCACTTGACCTCAGTGGTGTATGGGAGGAGGCGAGGGAGCCAGTCAGTAAGCTCCTGGGCGTTTCATGAAATTTAAAAGAAGCGTAAATGCCTCGTGTTTAAACCCATAAAAACAAAATCCGGCTGAGCTGCGCATCATCAAACTACGTCTTAAGCAACACAAATGAAACACACATGACAAACACACCTACGGCTACAGAACACGAGAGAAACCCACGTTCTCTCTGTAGTGATGTCTTGGGTGTGTACAGAGTGGTGTGGGGTCAGCTGTATTAAAGTCCGGGTAGAAATGAAAGCTAATAGTCCAGAGGTAAAGGGAAGATCTGGTCCACACTGTGCTACTAATGTTCAGATATGGAGGCGCTTATCTTTTAAAATGGCCGCTAAGTGTTCATGCTACATACTCTGGATCCAACTATCTACACCTCACTATAAGTAATTCACAAACTTAATGTATTCTTGCTCGATGCTTAGTGAAGAGCAGAGCTTCGTGTGTTATGGATTGACTGATGAGTCTTGACGTTCCTCAGCTACAGTAGTGAGTGAACATCAGGAGAAACAAGAACCTGCAGATGATGTGATTTAATCTTTGTTATTGTTATTTTGTGAAAGTTTAAGTTAGAAAGTTTATTAACGATATTTTTCTTAATTCTTTTCGGTTCGTCTTGGTTTTATGTTTACTCTTCATCTCTCTTATCAGTCATTGATAGTTTTAAATAAAGCATCAGGTTGTCTCGTTGACCAAACCTCTCTTATACTTCTTGCTGTTGTGGTGTGCCGGTGTGTACAGTCAGAGAAATATACAGTCCACGTGTCTCATTATTTATCGTTGATGACTAGTGTTTGTATGAAGCTAAAATACTCGCTTTAAGACCTTAGTTGTTAAAGTGCAGTAAGACACAATATCAACAATATTAACTCGACACACTAAGGGTTCCTGCTTACACGGGACACAGAAAAATCCAAGTCTACTGGATATTAGCAGAGGAGGAATGTACCGGGGAGGTCCTAGTCTTGTGTGGGGCCTTTATGAGTCACGCTTCCCATGTGTACGTTCTGTAGTGTGTGTGTGTGTGTGTGTGTGTGTGTGTGTGGTAAACTCGGGTTAAAAAAAGTCTACATCTACAATATTAGTAAACTACAAGCAGTCTTTATATGCTGGCATGACCACCACCTCTACTTGTGACAGGGAAGAACTGCCATCTGAAAGGACAGAAGGAATCATAACAATTATACGTAAGTGCTCGCTGGAGTCCCTAGATATATTAATGAACAGATTCTCGTCAAAGTAATACACAGGTTATAATTATGTTCTTGACAAGGGACAAAAAATAATAAAGGTCAAGACCATTGTTATTGTTGTACAATTTCTTTTATTGTTTTTTGTAAAATTTCTCTAAAAGTTAGCATTTATGGACAACATTTTCAAAGAGATAACTTAACATAGAGCACAACAGCTGAGGGTTATAAGCAGCTCTAAGGGTTAGTGTTGCTTAAGATCGTATTATACGATTCTAAATTAATTTTCATGTATCTACTGTTAATAGAGGTTAGTTGACTGCCAGCACACATGGTCTAAGAGTTACACACAAAGGCCTGTGTCTAGGGTGAGAAATGTGTTGTTTTATTATTGTATTAATAAAAACTAGATTACGTACTGTATAACTTATGGCCAAAAACTACCAAGAGGAGACCATCTTGAGTGCCTCCATAACCTGATTCATTTACGAGTAGCCAGTGAGTACCAAGTCTGATCCTCGTGGCAGACAGTTTACTTAAGGGAAACAACTAATAACAAGTTAGAAACCTCATCTCCTCAGCCTTTGACTTCTGGAATATTATATTTAAAATTCTCTGAACAGTTTCCAGTCATCTTTGGGACAGACTCCTTCCGAAATCTATGAAATTTAAGGGCCTGTGTATGATTCTTTATGTATGTGAGTCGACCTCGTAATAAGAACTGGGGTAAGTACTGTGAAGCAACTTATCGCGTTGACGTGTTGGACCGAGGTCAATGTCCTTAAAAGTTTCACCACTATCAGTTAACCAAAAAAAAGCGTCCACGATGTAAATGTTAGAAAATGCAAAGAAGAAATAACTGGACAACATTGAGGAGCACATACAGAGTCTATTCCTTCCTGCTAATGGGAACAATATCATAATTATCAAGACCCAGCTGGAAGGTTGTACCAGCGGTAGTGATCAAGAACAGCATATAGAAGAGGTAAGATCAGAGCGGACCAAAGGCCTCAGCCAAGCCAAGGAGCAGAGGGGGAGAACAGAAATAGGCAGATGAGTACACGCCCGACTGTACCTCTTCCCTCACACCACCACCAGCACCACACTACTCCAACCACAAGCTTCTAAAACACCAACCTCCCAGCAATACATTATCCACCTCTCAGCACCTCATTATCCACCTCTCAGGACCTCATTATCCACCTCTCAGGACCTCACTATCCATCTCCCAGCACCACACTATCCATCTCCCAGCACCACACTATTCACCTCTCAGCACCACACTATTCACCTCTCAGCACCACACTATTCACCTCTCAGCACCACACTATTCACCTCTCAGCACCACACTATCTCACCTCTCAGCACCACACTATTCACCTCTCAGCACCACACTATTCACCTCTCAGCACCACACTATTTACCTCTCAGCACCACACTATTTACCTCTCAGCACCACACACACTATTCACCTCTCAGCACCACCTCTCAGCACCACACTATTCACCTCTCAGCACCACACTACCTCTCACCTCTCAGCACACTATTCACCTTCTATTTACCTCAGCACCACACTATTTACCTCTCAGCACCACACTATTTACCTCTTACACTATTTACCTCTCAGCACACACACTATTTACCTCTCCAGCACCACACTATTCACCTCTCAGCACCACACTATTCACCTCTCAGCACCACACTATTCACCTCTCAGCACCACACTATACCTCTCAGCACCACACTACACCTCTCAGCACCACACTATACCTCTCAGCACCACACTACACCTCTCAGCACCACACTATCACCTCTCAGCACCACACTATACCTCTCAGCACCACACTATTCACCTCTCAGCACCACACTATTACCTCTCAGCACCACACTACTTTACCTCTCAGCACCACACTATTCACCTCTCAGCACCACACTATTCACCTCTCAGCACCACACTATTCACCTCTCAGCACCACACTATTCACCTCTCAGCACCACACTATTTACCTCTCAGCACCACACTATTTACCTCTCAGCACCACACTATTCACCTCTCAGCACCACACTATTTACCTCTCAGCACCACACTATCAACCGCACAGCCAAAAGGCTGAAGATATGTAATGAAAAAACTTGTTTAATACAGGACTATGGGGCTGTGGGGCGTTTAACAAATGTTTTCATTGGAAAAAGGAAAAAGAACATGAACTGAGCACACAAATTATTGTTTCCAGTGAGATCACGTGGGCCACGTGCGCTGAGGTGTTGAACAGCACACACAGGGTGCAGTAACTGGTTCACAGGTGTTGTCATGAGGGATCGCACATGATGTTGAAGCAACTCGTTCATTACGTGGCATCGCAGTGTCATGGGGCCGCTACGTGGTGTGGTGTTGTAGTGCCTCGACCAGTGCCTTGTAGTGTTGTGGGACCTAACAGTTAGGTGTGAGGTCTACACGTGCCCGAGCCTTGACCGTTCCCGGTGTGAACTGGGTTAGAACCTGTCTTATGGTCGGCAGGAGTTGGTTCTAAGAGACGCTTCTCCTTGGGTATCCTGGGACCTGACTGGTGGGTGTGAAGGTCACCTGGGTCATGACCCTCGGCTGTTACTGCTTACCACTGATATCACTGATGTTAGGCACCGTCCAACACTGTCACCATTCTTTTCCGAATGAAATTGTCACTTTTGACGAGAATTTACTGACATCTCTCTCTGTGGGGAGGAGGGGTAGAGGGGGTAGGAGGGAAGGGCCAACAATAATGGTCAAGGCAGTTTCCTAAACAGCGCTAGATCGTGTGTGTGTGTGTGTGTGTGTGTGTGTGTGTGTGTGTGTGTGTGTGTGTGTGTGTGTGTGTGTGTGTGTGTAGGATATCACCTGAGAATCACCGTGAATTAGATACTGTTATCATTCCGGGACCGTAGTTAATTAACTAAAGACAAACTTTTGACTGGTGTTAATTCTTCAGTACCGCGATAATGTTAGCAGCAGCTAGATGATGTCCTCAATGGCGAAGGTTTCAGCACACGGGGGAACAGCAACTACGACTACACAATATCACACACAAACGCTGATCAACTACAAGAGCGTGGAGGGTAGTGGTGTCTGTGAGGGAATATTTAACACAGGGTGACTGATCAACTGAACCTCACTTCTTAATATCCCAAACTTATCCCCGTCATTAGGACTGAACCCCAACCTTAATGGGGCTTCAATCATAATGGAATCCGATCTGAGAGGTTAGGTTATCTTGGGGCCTATTGAGAATGAGGCCCATTAATCCTACAGCTACAGGGAGACAAAAGCTACACAAAAGAGCAAATGACTCTTGGGTACTCTGTTGCACTTGTCTGGGTGTTTGTGTGACTTACCATATTCACCTCCGAGATGGAATCGAACGAGGCGATGGTGATGTCCATACCGATGTAACATGGTTCACCTGTACGGGAAGAAGAGACACACCTTTTACTATACAGGTATAACGAGAAGTGTGAGAACGCACCTGTGACTGATAATGATGATAATAATAGAAATAATAGTAATAATAATAATAATAGTAATAATAATAATAATAGTAATAATAATAATAATAATAATAATAATAATAATAATAATAATAATAATAATAATAATAATAATAATAATAATAATAATAATAATAATAATCAACCCTAACTTCGCTGAGTTAATAAAGTGACAGATATAATCTCCTTCATACCGTCGAGGTCCTCCTTCACCATAGAGTGTTGAGCCAAGTAAGAACTTCGGTAAATACGACCAACGTTTATCATTAAGGAACCGATCGTTTTGGGCTTTAAAAAAAAATGTGAAGTCAAGATATATGTTGGGCGTTTATTTAATATTTTCAGTATCTAGTAAACAGAGAAGGAAGATAAGTTGATAAATAACACAAAGGATGAGAGAGAGAAAGAGAGAGAGAGAGGAGCGAAAATAGTGTGATACTCCCGCTCAAATCAACAGGCTTATGACACTACAATGACTTTTTGAGGACCAGTGGGCGATTCTATCCCTTAATAAACCACTGAAGAGGAAAAAGTATAGATTCAGATAAAATAAAAACAAATGAAGAACACTTATTGATGGTATACTGTAGTTCCTTATGTAGCATTCTAGAGATAGTATTGGGACGATTGATCCCTTCTCGACAACAAAAGAGCATCAGTATAGATGATTCAACCCCTTATAGGTTTACAAAAGATCATCAGTACCTGTATACAGTAGATGAGTCAACACCTTATAGATAACAAAAGAACATCAGGTATAGATGATTCAACACCTCATAGACAACAAAAGAGCATCGGGTATAGATGAATCAACACCTTATATACACGACTGGGAATGAAAAAAAAAACGATGATAATAATCCCACACATTCGTATTCTAATGCCATAATAAGCAGTTTGATCTCATACATATATATAGACTGTACAAATGGCTTTATTACAGAGGGAGGTTATATTTATTTTACGTCACTGGTCACTAAAATAGCAGCAAGGAACACAACCGCCCACTAACGATCACTCCTTCAAACGGAAATCTGGGGTGGGCTGAGCTGGGCTGGGCTGGGATGGGCTGGGCTGGGCTGGGATGGGATGGGCTGGGCTGGGATGGGCTGGGGTGGGCTGGGATGCGCATTTCACGTCTCTGTGACCTCTTTCATATGCTTTTTCCTTGATCTTTTTATAATGACATTGTCGGTTCTTATTTCTTCAATATATTTCTGTTTTTCGGGTCAGATCGACTTGATGTGTTTATACATAATTATTCTGAATGACTGGTGTGTGTGTGTGTGTGTGTGTGTGTGTGTGTGTGTGTGTGTGTGTGTGTGTGTGTGTGTGTGTGTGTGTGTGTGTGATTTCCTTAGGTACTCATCTCTTCAACAGTACATGGGAAAATCTCAATCCCCCCACCCCCCTCTCTCTCTCTCTCTCTCTAAAACTTTCTAACTTCCATTCCTCACTTTCATACTCTTATTCTCTCACTTTCTCTCTCATTATCTCATTCTCTCACTTTCTCTCACTTTCTCTCACTCTCGTCCTTTCGACCATCGGCTCCGGGTCAGCTCTGGGTTACCTGCCTCACCTGTCTGGAGGAAGGGTCTACCTGTCTGTCCGGGAGGGTCCACAGGGAGGCTCATGATGGGTGTGGGAGGAGGAAGAGGGAGAGGGAAGGAAGGGGAGGAGAGGGAGGAATGGGAGGGAAGGAAGGGGAGGAGAGGGAGGAATGGAAATGAAGGGGAGTATAGGAGGAGATAAAGAGGGAAAGGAAGGAGAAAAGGAGAGGAGAGAGTGAGAAGAGAGAGAGAGAGAGACAAAAGAATGGACCAAAGTTTCCACCATACAATAAAAGTAAAAATAAAATACGCAATAAACAATAAAACATTTCACTAAACCAGATCAGCCACACGGTCTATTGAAACACAGTCACGTCTCTTAATCTGTATTCTGTATGTTGTATATCCCTGCAGTAAACACCTGTCGATAACGTTTAGAGACTGACATACTGTAGTTCTGAATACCGAGTTGTCAGATATATTTAGAAATACTGTCAACTTATCGATACACCTGAGAGAGAGTTGATTATGAGAGGTAGTGGCGGAGAAGTATTTATTTAATGTAAGGATACCGGGACTGACAATACGTAGTTTACCTCCTATACTGTAAACGATATACAATTTCTTTTCAGGATTTTTTTTTTATTTAATTTTTTATTTTTTGTTTTTGTCTTGCAATTTAGATAATGAGTCACCATTTAATTAAAGGTTTGGGGCGCTTATGAAAAAGTAAACAGAACAATAAATTAGAATTGTATTAATGAGACAGGGGCATCTACTCCAACACAAAGACGTAAAGAAAACTTCATTGGAAATCTAAACAAGAACTCTGTCAAGGTTTACGAACTTCCACACTTTGGTCATGAAAGTTTTACACACGGACAGTAATATATGGTGACATGAGGTGTTTGAATGTGATGATGTTAGTAGAGAATTAACGTAAGGGCGTTATTAGGGAAGTGTGTGTGTGTGTGTGTGTGTGTGTGTGTGTGTGTGTGTGTGTGTGTGTGTGTGTGTGTGTGTGTGTGTGTGTGCGTGTTGTACAGTGGTAATAGAGTGACATGGAGTATTATTAGGTTGTTGAAGACTTTGATGAGAGGAAAACCAACTGAAACAGCCCCCCACACACACACTGAAACAATAACTGAGTCTTGCTAATACTTTTTGGGTGAGCTGGTCAGTTCAGCTTTAACTTTGACCTATGAAGAGAGATGTTGCAAACTGTCCAGCCAGTGTGGTGATGGTGGTGGTGATATTAATGGTGGTGATTGTGGTGATGGTGGTAATGGTGGTGTTGATGTTGGTATTGATGGTGGTGTTAGTGGTAATGGCGTTGGTGGTAGTGAACATGTGTGGTGTGTGGTAGTGGTGAGAGGGAGTGATGGAGAAGGATAATTGTGGTCATGATGAATGGTGGTAAAGATTTTTCATAATGGTAATTGTGGTAGTTGGTTCATGGTGGTGGTAGTCTTGATATGGAGGGGAGTGATGGTACAATACAATCTAACGAAGCCCGTGTGGACGTCAGTGCTCGAGGAGTCTGGACGCTGAGACATCGAGCCTTCTTTGATGTCAGGATATTCGACCCAATGGCCGCAGGTCACCGTAACTCGTCCCTTGGGGGATTGAATGGGACCAAGTGCAAGACGCTTCTACACAAGACTGACGGAGGTGATGTCTGAGCAGAAGCAGCAGCCCAGAAGCAACGTTGCAGCCTGGTTGAGATGTTGACTGTCCTCTCTCCTTAGGTCTGCATTGCTCAGCATCAAGAGAACGAGATCGTCTGCCCCAAAGCCGACAACAGTTGGAGATATTGACTAGGAGACAACAGTCACAGAATGCTGCATAGATCTGCGGCTCAACTAACTCAACACAGCCAGGGTAGCTACTTATGTATTAGGATATTTAATTTTAAGGTAATAAAATGGCGGCGAAGGTGTGGCTATTGGGGGAGGCTGGAGGCCACGTTGTCGTTGTGGTAGTAGTAGTTGCTGTGGTTGAGGTAGTAGTTGCAGTCAAGGTGATTGTGGTAATTGTTGATGTTTGTATACTGCTATCTCCCTCTCCTTCCTTCCTCTCCTTCTCACCCTCCCTCTCATTCCCCCTTCCCTATCCTCCTGCTATCTCCCTCTCCTTCCTTCCTCTCCTTCTCACCCTCCCTCTCATTCCCCCTTCACTATCCTCCTGTTATCTACCCTATACTCCTCTCCTCTTTCTTCTTCTTCTTCCCTTATCTTGCTCTTTTTCCTCCGTCTCCTCCTCCCCTCTCTCAGTCGTGTTTCTCTCTCACCCTTCACGTCCTTTCCTCCCCCCATCTCACCTCCCTCCATCTCCCCCATCCTACCCCTTCCCTCTCCCCATTCCTCCCCCATTCCCCTTCATCATCATAAGACATCATCAACCTTCATTATACCACAAGGATACCCCATTCCCCTTCATCATCATAAGACATCATCAACCTTCATTATACCACAAGGATACAAGTCTGGCTATGAGCACAATATATTATAAATAATGTATACATCATTACAGAAACATCCACTTTCACACACACACACACACACACACACACACACACACACACACACACACACACACACACACACACTGTCTCATGAGGAACAAGGTGGCTGGTGTGAGGTGTGTGTGGCGTGTGAGGTGGGTGTGTGGCGTGTGGTGGTGGCGGGTGGTGTGGTGGTGTGGCGTGAGGTGGTGTGGGCGGAGGTGGTGTGGTGAGGTGGTGAGGTGTGGCGTGGAGGTGGTGTGGTGTGAGGTGTGTGGCGGTGTGTGGTGTGAGGTGGTGTGGGTGGAGGTGGTGTGGCGGAGGTGGTGTGGCGTGAGGTGGTGTGGTGGGTGGTGTGGCGTGAGGTGGTGGTGTGGCGTGTGGTGTGAGGTGGTGTGACGTGAGGTGGTGTGGCGTGAGGTGGTGTGTGAGGTGGTGTGGTGTGAGGTGGTGTGGCGGAGGTGGTGTGGGTGAGGTGTGTGGTGTGAGGTGGTGTGGCGTGAGGTGGTGTGGGTGTGTGTGTGTGGGTGAGGTGGTGTGGTGGAGGTGGTGGGCGTGAGGTGTGGTGTGAGGTGGTGTGGCGTGAGGTGGTGTGTGTGTGGAGGTGGTGTGGTGTGAGGTGGTGTGTGGTGTGAGGTGTGGTGTGAGGTGGTGTGGCGGAGGTGTGGCGTGGTGTGGGTGGTGTGTGGTGTGTGTGAGGTGGTGTGGCGTGAGTGTGGTGTGAGGTGGTGTGGCGTGAGGTGGTGTGACGTGAGGTTGTGTGGTTGTGAGGTGGTGTGGCGTGAGGTGGTGTGGTGTGAGGTGGTGTGGCGTGAGGCGGTGTGGTTGTGAGGATCAAGATAAGGTATTCTTCATTATACTG